TTCCTTGAGGCTGGGAAGCCGAAACGGTTTCTTCGTCTCTTTCTTGACCTCCGTTGCTCTACCGGTAGGTCCTCGGTCTTCCTTCCGCTGGTCATGGACTTCTTTCTTCTGGGTCTTCTTTCTATGCAGAACTTGTACCCAGCTATTGCCGGGTAGCGTGCCTACTTGCTCCTCCGAGGCGGTTTTCTGAATTCCATCCGTATAAAGGGGCCGCGCCGCTGGATTTATGGAGTCAAAAGCCACCTTGTCCGGATCGTATCCGGTCCTGGGGCTGAGCACGAGAGCTTCCGTCGATATTACTTCCATCTTGCGTTTTCCACCGCCGCCGCGGCGGTTCCACGTGGTGACGCTTAGCTGGTTAGGGCCAGTAGGGCGGCCGCACCGAGCGAACTCAGCTCATCGCCCTAGTCGAGCAAGGCCCAACGAGGCTTATCGAGGTTCCTCGTGGGTTCAAAACAAAATGCCTCTAAAATCAAAATATTCCGCTCACCAGCTTGAGGAAGGTATCCACGTGAACTGGGTCACTAACGCTGTCTATCCAAGACTTCTTCTCGCACGGAAATCAAGAATTCCAGCACGAAACATCGGTTTTTCGCGGAGCCTTAATGAGCATGCGTCCGCTCGCAGCAACCTTCTTCTTCTTCCGACAGAGTTGGAAGCCTACGAGCAAAGCAAGCGGACGTCCAGTAAATGAACAGCTTGTAAGCGGTAAACGCTACATTGGTGTCAGAAGTGGAGCTCCGTCCCGACCGGCGTTTTCCCCGAAATATGGAATCCACATCCGCTCCCCAAGGTGAACACACCGCGAGTGTCAGGGCCGGAAATCTGGCCGCCTCGGACCCGGCAGCTTCCCAACTCGTAGCCCTTATAACCAACAACAACCAGAATGCCGAAGCCTCCTACGCACGGTGGGAGAGCCAGCTTCTGCAAAGCGCAACCCCATCCTTTCGGGAATTGACACAATCTCTCACCGAACGCCTCCAGCGTCTAGAGGACCGATTGCCTGACCCCATGGAGCCCCGTGCCGTTGAAGTTCCAGCCCAAACCCCCTTGGGGCACCCGAGCCTGCGACTAAAACTTTCAACATACAACGGTATCCGCTCCTTGGCCCCCCTACATATCACTATCCAACCTTATCGCTAACGCGAACCATTGGTCAGGGGCCCAAAAGGCTCAAGCCTTGGCCGCCCATCTCGCCGGACCAGCGTTGACCTTGTTTCATCATTTGCCACCTGTAAAATCGTCAATCCTACCGGGCTTTAGTCGCAGCATTGGACGAGCGCTTTGGGGAAGGGCCGCTTCGGTTCCTTCATCATGCTCAACTTCGCAACCGTCGTCAGTCCGCAGTGGAGACAATCTTCGACCTCGCGGATGACATTGAACGCCTTGCACGTCTTGCGTTCCCAGACTGCCCAGAGGACATGGTGGAGGCTGTCGCTACCATGGCATTTATCGACGACTTAATGATGTCACCAAGAAGGACTCCTTTCCTTTGCTTCGAAATGACGATATCTCGGACGCTCTCACAGGCTGCGAGTGGTTTTCTACGCTTGACCTCAAGAGTGGATATTGGCAGGTTCCCGTACAGCCGGATGATCGAGAAAAGACTGCCTTCACTACAGGTCATGGCTCATATCAATTCCGAGTAATGCCATTCGGGCTCTGCAACGCCCTGGCTACATTCCTGAGACTAATGGAATCTGTGCTGCATGGTCTCATAGGCACAGTTTGTCTTGTATACCTCGACGACATTGCGGTATTGAGCAAGACATTTTCCGATCACCTAGCGTATCTCGAGCTTGTGCTTGCACGACTTCAAAAGGCAAATCTAAAGCTTACACCAAAGAAATGTTCGTTGTGCACAAGGCAGGTTGAGTACCTCGGGAACATCATTTCGACAGACGGGGTTTCCACAGATCCTCGGAAACTCTCTGCTATTGCCGAGTGGCCAACCCCGAGATCCACCGCTGACGTTCAAAGTTTCATTGGGCTGGCATCGTACTGCCGAAGATTCGTCCCTAATTTCACCCACATCACCAGGCCCTTGTATATCCTGACAGAAAAGAAAGCTCCGTTTGTCTGGCCCCCAGAATGCCAACTGGCCTTCGAGGCACTCAAAACGGCCCTCACGTCTCCACCAACTCTTGCCTTCCCAAAAGACACAACACCATTCGTCCTTGAAACCGACGTTAGCGCCTCGGCAGCAGGTGCTGTACTATCGCAACAACAAGATGGGCATGAGCGAGTCATTGCGTTTTTAAGAAAGCAAGAACGCAACTACTGCACCATTCGACGCGAACGTTTGGCCCCCATCAAGGCCATAACCGAATTTCATCATTATCTTCTGGGACGGAAATTCATTATCCGAACCGACCACGCATCATTAACTTGGATGTTGAGTTTAAAGACCCCTGATGAGCAGGTCGCCCGTAGGCTGGAACCCCTTAACCAATACAACTTCGACATACAGCATCGCCCCGGATCACTCCACACCAATGCCGACGGCCTTTCGCGCCACTCATGCGGTGAGAAGTCGTGCATGCAGTGCACAAGCATTGCAAAACGCAGCTGCATCTCGCTCAAAGCAATTCCTTGTGGCAACGAAGCGTGGACACCGGAAAGTCTTCGGGCAGCTCAACTTGACAATCCAGACATCGGCCTGCTCATACAGTGGAAAATGAAGAATACACGACCTCAAGGCAAAGAGGTATCCAGCTTATCTCCTACCCTTAAGGGCTATTTGGTGCTATGGGACTCTTTATACCTTCGCGACAACGTTCTCTATCGACGCTGGGAGTCCGCTGCGGTTGACTCTGTCGTCTGGCAACTGCTACTGCCACATACACTCTGCTCCTACATATTTCAGCAACTGCACAGAAGTCCAGAAGGCGGACACTTCGGCGTGAATCGCACAATGAAGAAGATTCGCCAACGCTTCTACTGGCTGCAGTGCCACAGTGACGTAAAGCAATGGTGTCGTCAGTGCGACATGTGCACCTCCCGTAAAGGACCTCACGCCAAACAGCCAGCACCCCTTCAAGAGCGTGTGACGGGGCGCCTTTTGAGCACGTTGGCATTGACGTGCTAGGCCCACTTCCCCGATCTAAATCTAGAAACAGGTTCTTGCTAGTCCTAGTTGACTACTTTACACAGTTTATTTGGAAGTTATTCCAATTCCAAACCAGACCGCCCCCAAAATTGCTGACGCCCTGGTGAAGAATTGAATCACCAGGTACGGGACGCCCCTGAGCATTCACTCGGATCAAGGCTTTGAGTCTCACGAGCATTCACTCGGGTCAAGCTTTGAATCTCACGTATTTCAATAAGTTTGCAAGATCTTCAACATCGCCAAGACGAGGACTACACTTTTCCACCCGCAGCCAAACGGCTTGGCAGAAAGAATGAACCGCACCATCTTACAAAATCTGTCGATGTTCGTAAATGATCGTCAAGATGACTGGGACAGCATCGTGCACCTATTTTTGTACGCATACCGTACAGCAGCTCACGAGGACACCGGTTATACGCCAGCGATGCTGCTGCTCGGCCATGATTTTCGTATGCCCTGTGAACTAACCATCCCACGAGCATCAGAACCGGCCACAGACCCTGTGTCTTTCGTGAGCAAACTGAGAACAAATCTCGAGCGAATTCACGCATTTGCTCGACAATGGCTGCCAAGCGGCCTCGCTCGCATGAAGAGCCAGTATGACACACACGTCACAACACGCCCTTTTTCACCAGGCGACAGGGTATGGTTGTATAACCCGATTCGGAAACGAGGACTGTCCCCAACGCTGCAGCGTCACTGGCAAGGACCCTTTACAATCGTGAAACGGCTCAGTGACGTGGTCTATCGCATACGTCAAAACGATCGATCCCGGGCTCTCGTGGTTCACCGTGATCGACTGTCCTTGTATGAAGGACTTCGTTAAACCTGGATAAAATTCCAGAAGACGGGAGGGGGATAATGTAGCAAAGGTGATGTCGCGGAAAAGAAGACAACGAGGAGAAGAACACAGAGTGCTCGCAACATAGTTGGAAGCCTACGAGCAGAACAAGCGGACGCTCAGTAAATTAACAGCTTGTAAGCGGTAAACGCTGCAGTATTATAAAAAAATGAGCCAATAAACCGATTCTTAATTTTTTAAGCTTTAAGCTTAATTCACACGCCGCCACTCGATTAGAAGGGTTCAGTTCATTCGTGCATCCATCCACCCATCCATCCGACGGTGCCGTGAACGCTGCCTGCGCTGCCTGCCTCAGGCCCCCCTGAGGCCCCTCAAGCTGGAGGTAACATCATAAAAGTACGCGACCACACCCGTTGACCACATCCAGCCAGCCGTGAGCCCGAGCAGTCCACCACAACCCTCGGTGAAGCGAGGAGACGAAATACAGTGTGCCGTCTGCTAGCTACGCTTGCGAGGAGCGAGCAACTCAAAGCGTGGACATGGCTTGCATCATCGGCCGCCATTGCTCCGTGCCATACTCTTGTGTCCGTGCCTTCTGCAGCATACATTTCGCACCATTCAATTTGTTCTTGACAAAAAAATGCCGAGAAGAACAAACTCGATGGTTCGAAGTGTGTGCTGCAGAAGAGGCGGACACAAGAGCATAATAGGCAGCCATGGCGGCTGGTACGGTGCCGTATGACGTCACGAGCATGCTGTGTATTGCAAGCGCGGCGCACAAGCCACGTGACCCCTGTGAGCATTTGGAAACACTGTGCAATGTAGGCGCATCGCCAACACGATCGTCTGCAAACACGTTCACCGTTGACCCTGGCAAGTTTGTTGGTCTAATTTTTTCACACGAGGGGAGCTAAGCCTCGAAATTTCACCGGGTAATATGCACCACTTAACTTTCGGGAAAAGATTGAGCTTTCTATGCGCAAGTGACGATTTTTCTGACTCGTGTTACAGCGTCGGATCCTCTTCGTGCCAGCCTATGTATCTTACATCGCGTGCACAAGACACAGAACGTTGTTGGCCGCCGCTCACCGTCGGCCAGGGGTCTCCCGCTGGCGGCCATCACGAGCCGGGCCGCCCTCTCCTTGGACTCGCCGTACGGCCCCGCGTAGCCGTGCGTCGCCGCCGATTGGTCCTTCCCTCCCTGGCCGCTGCTCACGGTGCCCGTGAACACAAGCAGGGGTACGCTCTGTCGCACGCAGGCCTCGATCACGTTGCGGGTCCCTGCGTATGCCGATGTCCCATGGAGCCAATAATACAGTTACAGGGCACACTTAGCCTCAGTTATGTCACCCTTAACTGCAGTTATGCTTTACCACAGTATAATAACGTTGGGCACACTTTAATTGCAATCATGCTTAAACCACAGTTTCCACATTGTACTCTTGTACCCTTGTTACACGGGCGCACTTAACTGCAGTTACGCTAAGTCACAGTTAGCGCACAATACTTGCGGACAACATTCTGCGGCTATGCAGTCAAAGCTATGGGCGAACGTGCGCTTGAGCATCTTGAGCATCTATCGAAGCAGTGCGCGCGCGCTCTTCACTTTTTCTGAAATAGCTGTCAGAGAGTAATGTGCGGTATACCTGTGGTGCCGCGCAACAGCAATTAAGCTGAGTTAACCGCGGGTAAGTGTGCCCGTGTAACAGGGGTATTGGACGACTTTCTGTGGATATGCAGTTGAAGCTCTGGGCGCACATGCGCTTGCCCATCTTGAGCGTGCATCAAAGCTGTCCATGCGCACTCTTCACTTCTTCTGAAATAGCAGTCCGAGACAATAGTGTGGTAACTATGGTCCAACGTATGAAAAGTAACTTTACTGCGGCTTAGGGTGCCCGTGTAACTAGAGTATTACCAGACTATAAAGGATTGTTCACACATTTGCATAAATCCGACCGAGACCGACTGAAACTGCTTGTTGCTATGACAACAGCGGCGTCGGCCCCAACAGAACGTGCTAAAAAGCTCAACGCAAGTGTGTGAATTCAGTGAATCGCACTTAAAAATCGGTTCTGTTGGAGCCGACGCAGTTGTTGCCAGAGCAACTCTAACATCGGAAGCCGTTGCAGTTGCACTCCACTGGAGTCGGTGCAAGTGTGTGAATCGAGGGAAAATGATGCCACAACCAACATTCAACTATGCCGGCGCTTTTCAGTGCCGTCTCGTCAGAAGAAGGCAGGCTTGCAGGTCGAGCGGGCAGCCTAAAGATGGACTGTGCCGATCATTTGTTTCGTGCTGCTGCGCGGGTGCTGGAGAGAGCTTCCGAAGCGTTCATTTGACACCATGAAAAGGGCTTCTAATCATTTGGGAACCAAGTCTAAAGTCCAAAGAGGGAACACCTGCCCTCCCCTTACGTGACTTTTAGAGCGCAGCCCTCAGGCGCCCGTTTCCGGCTTGAGCGGCGTCGCCGTCGGCGTAACTGCGCGTTTATTATGGGACGTTTCCCATAATACGTCACACGTGACGTCACGAGGGTCACGAGAGACGTCACGAAGGTCACGAGTGACGTCACGAAGGTCACGAGTGACGTAACGACGGTCACTCGTGAAGCTCCCGACGAAGGTCACGACCTTCAAAGTGACCTTCACGAGGTCTTAACGAGTGACGTCACGAGGGTCACTAGGTTCACGAGTGATGTCACGAGGGAGGAGGGGAGGAGGATGCCTTTCCCTCCGTCCCCTCCCCTCCTCCTCCTCAAGAGCTGCTCTCTACTTTGGCATTACAGGGAATAGTAAACGTCTTTCATTTTTTATTGTTGCCAGTAGGGACTTTCACATTACAAACCCCGGTGAGGATGAAAATTGTAAATCCAATAACTTCTTAAAAAATTATTTTAGCGAAATTTTTTTGTTACTATTTCGTCGATGTTTTTTGGTATGCTTGGGAAATGTTCAGGGAAATCGGGGACTGTGAAGAAAACGTCCGAGTACCCCTTGAAACGTGGAATAACGTTCGCTTCCATTCAGTTTCAGCAGAACACTAACGATTTACGAAGTGCAATCAATTTTGAACCTTGAACGTTGACCGCTTCCAAGAGCTCCTCGTCCGGGAAAAGGTCGACGTCGATGAGCGAGGCGCAGTGGATGACGCAGTCCACTCCTTCGAAGGCTGCATTGACCGCCTGAGCGTTGCACACGCTCGCAACGGTCTCCTTCATGTGCACGTTCATAGGCTTGCTGGTTCCGTGCCCTGGTAGCGAGGCAAACAATCAAGCACTTGGTTGATTTGACTACGGCAAAAGTTCGCAGTTTAGAGCTATATAGTTGCCACCTGGCGGATTTCGAGCAAACTACCGTGACCGGCCGTCACGACCCACGGCGCAAATTCTATGGTAATGGAAATGTCGTCTGATTTCAAACGCCAAATCGGCATGTTGGATGCGACGCAGAATACGAATACCGTCAAAAACAGTGCGTGTCTGAATGTTCGCACTATAGGCTGTCGCAAATACTGTAATACCCGTTTTTTTAAAGACGAAACGTTGAGGGAGGTGGGGACAACGTTACTACAACTAGCTCTGTTTCACAGCGCCCTTGGAAACATGGGCTCCGCGGCGGTCGCGAGAACTAGAGTCGATGCAGTCGAGTACGCGGAGAGCAAGTCGCCTGCTCCTTTTGCAGGAGCTGCGGCGACATCAGAAAGACGTCGAGCTCTGATTCGCTCTGATTGAAAGATAGTGGGTAGATCTCGAAGCAAGCTGCCTCGAGGTCTACCCACTATCCTTCATTCAGAACCAATCAGAGACCGGCATTCTAACGCCACCACAACCCCTGAAAAAAAAAAAAAAAAGAGCAGACGAATATGAGTTTTGCATTGGTTTCGGTTCCTCGAGCCGCTCTACTGAGTATGCAACGGACGCTCGCTTCGCTCCCCTTGTTCTGCTTCGTTTGCGCCGACACACCCTACTGACTTGAAAAGATGGGAACAAGCTATGCACAGAAAAGAGAGGAAACTTACTGCAAGGTGTAAAGTACAACATGGGCCTGTTATCGAGTGCACGTCACATATATGTGACGTGCACTTCGAAGACAAAGATGTCATCAAGCACTACTTTTACGTTATCGGCGGTAAAGGGGTGCTTGTTCCTCGTGGGAAGTGGGGCAGCTAGCACTCGATAACAGCCCCGTGTTCGGGAACCTTTCCTGGCATGCTTTGGAGAAACTAGAGTCTTCTTCAAAAGTAGTAGGCGCGCGGGACGGAAACCGCAAGCCTCGATTGCAACGCCGCTAGTTCTTGCGACCGCCACAGTCGTCACTTCCGTCCATGGCCTGGAATAGGGAGCTGCGAAGCTGAGTCGGTTTTAGTAACGTTGGGTGGTGAGGCATAGGTTTTTAAATGCGTGGAGATCGTTGGTGCGCTGTGTGCCGCAGTCAACTGTTCGACATCCGAATCTCCGCTTCACATTCCAACAAAAAGCGTTTCTTTTCTTTGCATGAGACGTTGTTATGGTTAGTATAACCTGAATATACCCTTTTCAAAAGTCAGAGTCACCTTGTGGCAGTCCCAAAAGCTCCAATATTTCTGCTTTAATGACTGTTGATAGGAGATTATGCTTGACTAAATCAATCACCCCAAATTTCGTGAACCGAAGGTGACGTAAATGCAGATACTTTACTAGTCCAAACAAAACACCAAGGGGAGCGAAGCTGGCAGAAGAACGTGAAGAGGGAGCTTCTGGTAAACCTCAGAACGGCGTGCCGACGTTTCACTAGGAAACCTAGCTTCTTCAGGGCCCTGAAGAAGCTCGGTCTCCTGCTGAAACGTTGGCACGCCGTTCCGAGGTTTACCAGCTAGAAGCTGTCTTCATACACTTAACTAAGGGAATACAGGGCACTCCTCGAAAATATATAGAAAAAAATGACAACGAAGATCTACGGAAACACGCGTGATGGCGGCAGCGGTACCGTCTTCGCATCCGTGACCCCTTCAACCGCAACGTATTCCGAGGCGTCGCCTTCACGTGCTCCGGCGGCGAGTTGAGGGAAGTGAGAGAAAGAGGCTTCGCCAAATAAAGCACTCCCCCACGGGTGGTTTATGTCGCGGCCGTCGTGGCAAATGCAGGCAAATGATGAGAGTGTTCTGTATTACCCTAGTAAAGTATTTGTTAAAAAAACCATCATCGTTTCCCCTTTCTGCTGTATGCTTTCGAAGACGTTCGCTTTTTCGCATGTGGAAAAGCTGTGTGGTATGCCGCCATTAGAGCTTCGGGTAGAGCGTACCCTAGCAGGCGCTTTTGTGTTCGGGTTACGGTGGAAGGAACACATTTAGGTGATGACTCTGGCCGCTCTCCTCGAGGGGAGCGAGCGACCAGATCGTGTTCGGAGTTTAGCCTCGAACCAGGAGTAGTTATTTCCGCGCGTCCGCGGAGGGCGCTGAGGTCTCCTGGGCGGTAAAACATTACTCGGCGGTCACGGTGTCGGCGGCGTGCGTACTCGCCTTTTTCGCGGTGTGGTGGTGTGGTGGTGATGCGTGGTTAGTGGCTGGCCTCGAGTTTTGCCTTGGTGCTGTGTCGATCACAGGTGCCACCATCGTGTGCGAACGTGATCCTTAACCCGAAGAAGAAGAAGAGGAAGAAGAAGGAAGAAAACACAGACCTACGGACTCTGGCGACTTGGTGGCGGCGTGTGGGGCGGTGAGGTACAACAAGATGTGGTGAGCGGGGGAATGCGGGAACACCGCTGACAGAAACAACCGGAGCGGTCGATTTGGGAGGTACCCAATACTTGGCGCCTTCTAACCCCGTGCGAGTCAAGCACGCTCGGTGCGCCGAACATAATGTGGCCGTCGCGTCGGACAGAGAATCATCACCTAAATGTGTTTCTTCCACCGTGGGTACAACAAGAAGCGGTGAGCGAGGGAATGCGGGACAACCGCTTGGAGAAACAACCGGAGCGGTCGGTTTGGGAGGGACCCCATACTTGGGCGCCATCTATCCCCGTGCGAGTGGAGTGCTCGGCGCACCGAATATAATGTGGCTCGCCACGTCGGACAGAGAGTCATCACCTAAATGTTTCTTCCACCATGGCTAAAACGAAAAAAAAAAAAAACAAAAAAAACGGCCATGCCCATGACAGACTTTCAAGCGCTGCCGACACCGTGGCCGCCGCAGAAGGACCTCATACCTCAGCGCCCTCCGAGGCGGCGCGGAACTAATTCACCCAGGTTCTAGGCTGGCTCCGAACATGATTTGGTCGCTCGCTCCCCGCGGGAAGAGCGGCCAGAGCTCATCACCGAAATGTGTTTCTTCCACCGGGGTTTCAGCCAACGTTACTAAAACACTCAGTTGGGAAACTCGCCCTTGAAATCCGGACCACCCGCATTCACCGAGACCAAACTAAGAACGATAACAGCGCCGCCCTTTGGTGACGAGTCAGAACATGAAAGTTGATTTATACTATAATTTGGCGGGAAATTTTCGATAAAAACACGTGACGTCACGTGACACGTGACGCTACCGACTAGACGACGCACACACACTTGCACGGCTTTGCGAACGGGTCACGATAGCGCTATCGCGTTCCACTCTTAAAGGCGAAGCGTAAGCGTCCCCCAAGTTTTTTTAGATACGTATATTACAGCGGAGCTGTTAAGGGCTAGGTTCCCCAGGACTGTGTCCACCAGCAAAAAAAAAAAAAAAAAAAAATGTCACCGAATTCTGGACAGCTACCGCAATCTATGAGCGACGGCGGAAACCAGACAACTGGTTGCCGCCGCCGCTCATAGATTGCGGCAACCTTTCTTCAGAGGAAGAAGAGCGGAACGAGCGGCGATGTGCGCAGCAGCGCGAATGGTTTCGCAACGGCCGCGAGGCCGCTATCGTCTAAAGTCCCACTGTGTCGAGCGCTCCAGATTCCCTTGCGAAAGAAGAGCAGATCGCTCGCCTGGAAAGCCACCGCCGAAAACACAAGCTACAGCTCCGCTGCTCTTCCTTCTTCACCAGAGTGGAAAGGCTGAAAGGTTTTGTTTTAAAGCTCGGCAATGATGTAGCCGCGAGGACCTGGGTGGTATATATAGTGAGGGGCGTTGCGTGGGGATCACTCCAGAGTCGAATCTCACCGAGCCTTTTCTCGCAGCGGCCGGCGTCGAAGAGCCGCACTTCCTCGACTCCCGGCAGCTCCCCATCTTGGAGCAGGCGTACCACGTGCTGTCCCAGAAAGCCGCTGGAGCCGGTGACCAGGACCACCCGTACGGGTAGCTCTCGGCTGCACATGTCGTCGGGTGGTACAGTTAAGGGCCGCTCTCCCTCTTTTGGTCCCTATTTCTGACATTTTCCATGGTGTGTGACAATTTCAATGGTGTGTAAAAAGCATGGTGGAAGCTTAGCCTTATGGCAGTCTTGAACTCGTTTTAAAAAAAGTAATCGTTCACAATTAAGGGCCGCCCACACTAGCGAGAAAACGCGCGCGGCGCGCCGATCGCGTTGAAAACGCGTTCCGCAAAATCGAATGCTTCAAGAGTGCGCGAGGCCTCCTGTGCTGTCACGTGGGATTCGCGGCGGCAGAACTCTATCTAGAGAGGTCTTCAGGATGCGGGACGCGTCTTCCCGCGATCGGCGTGCCACGCGCGTTTTCTCGCTAGTGTGGGCGGCCCTTTACAGTCACACTTGCTTTATTCCAGAGTAGATTACTTGATTACCAGATACGAAATGTGATTGGCCGTTACTTGAAAAGTAACCGTCCGTTACTTCTCCGATTACTTTGGATTTTTATAGCGACAGAGCTTTCTACCCGTTGGAAAACGAGACATTCGTACTGTCCATTTTAGGTTAGAATCACCGTTTATTAACTACACTTTAAACAATGACTGCGCGTCTACTTACCCGAAAAACACCATGGCCTCCTCTCTACTCACAAAGCCTGGCAGTTCGATGACGGAGCCATAGAGTGCGCGGTCGCAGATTTGGAGCGCGAGGATCTGGTAGCACAGAGCATTAAGGAGCCATTTCTCGGGGAACCTGGACGTCAGCGCACAGATTTTGCAGCGGCGAGGATCCGAAACACAATTGTGTGCTCGGGAGAAGTGTGTTTCGGCGCCTCGCCGCAGTGGGGCGCCTGTCACGTGGCTGCCGTCTCATCCGTTGTCTGCCGCTCCACCCTTTCCGTTTCGGCGGCCGCTTTTTGTGGCGATCTGCCAGGCTTTGTCAGCATATAGGAGGCT